AGCCATGAGATATGTTAAGACATATAATAAACTTGCATTCTGCTAGTCAGAAGATGCACAAACTGTAATATTAAGGGATGAGGTAAAGACACAATCTCAGGCTGGGTCCCAGAATGCTAGTGTCATAGTCAAAACAATCATTTTAGTAAGGAGCATTTTTTGCAGAATTGCCACTTAAAGATAACTGAAGACTCCATTATGAAGCGGGAGAATACTGCATCCATAAGACATCAGAGTATTCTTTGACTACTACAGAAATTAAATAGAGATCTAAAATCTTCTCTAAAATAAAGATCCAAGGAGGTATACTAAAGATGAAAAAAAAATGTATCTTGCACGCAAAATGAGGATAGATTGGGTGAGGGATTGAGGGAAGGGCAGGAGACAATGAAGAATTACATAGATTAGATTGGATGCTGTTATCTAAGGAGAAGCTTTAAGACATCCACTTATTGTTTTATTTGCATAGTCTGATGTGGTTTTTAAAGTTTATGTTGAATGCTGTTAAGAAGTGCATGGACTCTGAAGTTCGTCTCAGGATTTATTATTACCACTGTCTTTTATTTGCTGTCTTCACACTGCACATGCATGAAGGATAAGCACCATAGCAAAACGAATTGAAAAAAAGTAACAAATGTATGTATTGCTCTGTAATGCATGGACAAAAAAGGATAACAGAGCTGGTGATGCATCAGTGGAGAAGATGGTGAGGAGAACAGTGTAAGGAATAAGATATGCGAGATGAGATGCTTCTACAGTGTATGTGTATAATATCTAGGCAACCACAGTAGCATTCTTTATTTAAGAGCCCAGTATATCTTGTCAAGCTAAGATTAATTTCCTAAGGAGTCATAGTGTGCTAAACATTCATAAGTAACACATTCACGGAAGACTACATGACTTCATTAGGACACATATTCTGCCCAGTATAATGGCTTAATATCAATAGCTAAACAAGTAGCGCTTATTCATCTTTCACATAACATTCAGCACAGAGGGAGTCCTGGACTGTTTTGCTCTATAAATTAAGGCATTCAGCTAGACTCCTATGTTGTTATTCTACCACTTCTAGACAGTTATCTTTATCTGTGTGATACAAGCTAGCTCACCAGGACATCTCACTCCATGTCTAATTTCAAGTTAGTCAAGGAAGAAGGAGAAGCAGACATTCTCATTCTTCAAGATATGGCCTAGGAATGGTGTACACTGTTTTAGGTAATATCACATTGCCGGAACTTAGACATGATGCCGAACCTAGGTATAGAGGAGGCGGGACATATCTCTGTCTGTCTATCTGTCTGTCTATCTGTCTGTCTATCTGTCTATCTATCTATCTATCTATCTATCTATCTATCTATCTATCTATGTTTTTGTTTTTAAAAGAGGTTATTGACTAGCTACTGAACAAAGCTTAATCATTGATAGTTGATTTAAATGAAAGATGACATACAGTCAAAAGATTGGTGAAAATCAATAAGCGCACTTGTAGAAAACAAGAATGTGCAGAAGATACCTGAAACATTTTTTTTCAGAAAATATTTTCCTGAGAAGTTTGACAAAGCAGATGAAATAGGCCTACTCTATGGATGCTTTCCAAAGGCTAACTCATCAGGTAAAGATGAATTAAGTGTTCAGCAGCTTAAACAAAACAATATAGGCTGGTTGATCCAATATGTGCTTATACTTGTGGCTGCCATAAAACAAAACCTTTCATTACTAGAAAATTAAATTACCCTAGGATTAGGGAGCAGCTGTGCCAGTTTCCTGCTGTTGTGGTACCAAGACTGGCCCTATCGTTTTCCAACCTCATAACTTAACAAGCCAGTACCTTCTATAAATCTGTTCATAATTATCTGTAAAATGAGGATACAAAATATTAAACACAACTGGAATGAGAATTTGATATTTTAATATATATGAAAGCAACTGGTTATTAAAAGGTTTTTGATAAACATTAGTAAAATCAGAAACCCTATTATTAACTTGACCAGGATGTTTTATTTTTACATAGTTGTTCTATCAACTTTTTATAAGTATATGAATTCAAATTCTTTACAGAGTTACTCTACTGACTAGTAAGTGTAGAGAACTATTATTAAATCTTGTCTCATTCTTAGCTATCTCTCTTAAGAGTTACATAATAAAATTGTTCAATTTGATCAACAAAACTTCCAAATTAGACTGTAAAACTTTAATCTTCAAGGTGGAAAAATGGCAGTTAGTGGGGTATATCAGAATTGCTCTGGCTTTGAACAAAATCATGTTTAAAATGTAAATTCTTAGGACTTAACCCATCTTACTGAAGCAGAATCCCCCAAATAGAATCTGCTATCCTCTGTGTTTAATATGCTTTCCAAGTAGTTGTAAACACTTTGAATCTTGAGAACTGTTAGCCTAGAGAAGCAAATGTAAAAAAGCCTCATGATAAAGGAACATTGTCATACAGGTGATATGAACAAACCTAAGGTAAAGAGCTATTGCTTCTGGCCTGGTAATAAATGAATAAAATGCTTATTTTTCTGATAAGGTACTTCTGATCAAGATGAGGCTTCCTTTCACCTTCTCTCCACCAGCCTCATGAGTCACACCAATCTTCTGAACCAATTTTGTCCTTATTCTGGAAGATCCTGTGAAGTTCCTCATGGATATTTGGGTGATTTGCATGTTATCAAACCTATCAGTAGATCTAGATATATAGCTAATATGTAAGCTCACCAGCAATATTCTAAGCAGTAGGTAATTTACACATATGCTTTGTAATCTTTAAAATGTAAGCAATCTGAACATTATGAACCTCATTATAATGAGAATTCTGAGGCTAAAAGATGTTAAGTAAGTTGATCACTATCTCCAAGTCGGTAAAACAGAAGCAAATATAGCGTTATTACAGAGAAAAAGCAGAGAGAAATGTGCCCCTACACAGAGAGAATTCTATTTTTAAGAAACTTTTAAAATCAATCCAAAGCTACACATCAAGTGGGAATTTGGAAATGTTTGCTTAGGAGCTTCTGTAATTTTTTTTTTTTAAGATGGTTGAATTGAAATGTAATATAGCATAGGAGGGATATGGACATTTATGCAGGTATTCTCAGAATGGAAACTAATCAAAAAGAGTTTTAGTAAAGAATTGACCAGATTCCCTTCCCTTGGTGCTTTGGAATAACCCTGTGCTTATTGATGTTGGAGATTCTAGCCTAATATCTTCCATGCATTCACTAATTTTATAGGCTTTTTCCTACAAAAAAGTGAAAACACACATTGAAACCTGGAGATAACTGAAGACTGCTTCTCTGACTCTCACACTGAGAGTTGACTTTTCATCCCCCACTGCCCCCTGCCATTTCATGACATAGAAAGTAAAACTGTAATCAGCAGCAGACCTGGTGTCTGCTCCCACAGAAATGGTGCTATTACCAATGCAGAAGCAAAACTACAGGCATGACCACCACAGAGAGACTGCTTTACAGCCTTCCAAGACATCACTGTTGAATAACCCAAGCAAATCTGACTCACAGACACAGAATACGCATGTGGTTTATGATCACCAGGATAGACGTGTTTGACATTTTTCAGGTAGGCTAGCTAAAGCAACTAATTCCAATAGTACTTCCGAGTCTCAAGAACAAAAGAACCTGTGTTCTGTCATTTATAAACTAATATTCCTAACGTGTACTGGAATTCTAAAGGTTTCAACCAGAAATCTGAAATTTCCTCAAATGGATGTCTTCTGTGTAAAAAAATTTATATATTTGAGCTTGAATTTCCATAATGTTGAATGGAGGGAATATTTCAGATAAACATTTTTTAAATTACAAAACTTCATGAACAGTGCTATAACAAAGTGATGGCTTATACTATAAATGTTTTTGCATCATAAGGTCTTAGATATGGGTTTTATTTTTGAATATTTATTGTGTTCCAGATAGAATGGAAGGTACTTTGCATATGTTATCTCTTATTTCAATGGAGTCTTCCAACAATTTCATGGCACAAGTAACAGGAAAGAAAAATTCGATCTTTAAAGTCACTTTCTCAACATAATGTACTGATTAACCATAAGGAAAAGATTAATACTAGTTCCATTAAATCATGTAATTTGTCATAACAGAGGTATTTGTATAGAGAAAGGCTATAGATTTTAATTTTATAGCAAAGATGAATAAGAAAATTACATCATATATTTTGCTATGTCTGTATTTATGTAACCCTGAATAACCTTGAATTTCTCTAAAACACCATAATCTATGTAACTAGTCAATGACTTACAATGACAACTAGAAAATGGCTCTTCGAAAGTAGTCAAACATAAAGGAAATTCTGTCACTTTGATTTTTCTATTGGAGGGAAGGCAATTATGACTCTTCTAAATGATAGGTTAAAACTTAAAAATCTTGCCATCAACCTGTTAATTTTTGTCCCATTAGCTATCACAAACCCTAGAGGCAGCATGGCAGTGATAGAGTAGATTTTACAGTCAAATCATTCTTGAGCCATTTGCTAGTTTCATGAATTTGGATGAGGTTTTAATTTCTCTGAACTTCTGTTTCTGCATCTTGACTCTGTGGAGAAGAATACTTACCTCTTGAGGCTGTTATGATAACTTATTGACTAAGGTAAATAATGTACATACACATAGTAGGAAATTAAAGCAAATTTGAGTCTGTTATTGTGCCTACTCCACTTCAGAAAATAATCACTGCAAAATAATGAAGAGCTTTCGTTGAATCTCAAACATATATACTGGGTTATAAATCTCTGTATTTTTTAATTCATTATCTGTTTATAATAAGAAGAGCCATACACACACACACACACACACACACACACACACACACACATATATACACATATCTATATATTTAAATACAATATACATATTATATATATAAATTTCCTTTATAAATATATGTATAATATGCACATATATATATGTATATATATGGTATGAAATTCTCATTCCATTCTTAAAGGGCCAAATATTAAGAATCACTTCCTCTTACCACAACATGAAGCAATTTCAACATGGATGCTCCAACTTCATTTCGGATACCTCACATATAAGGATCCTATATCTTGAAACCATCTCCAGTGGATTTCCTAGATGAAATGAAACAGAAACTCTTGGGAACATGGAACATAAAAACCTAGCTTCTTTCAATAGTGCTCATCTAAAATTCCACATCATATTTAATCTTGCTGGTTTTGCCCTAATTATTAAAAAACAATGTGCACTTCCAGTCCAATTTGATGTACCCATCCTTGACGACACTAATGCTTGCACTTTCAGGAAATGCATTTTATATGTGTTTTCACAAATCAATGTGTACTCTTAAAAAATATTAGAAAATAATTAGGGTATAATAAAACTTCCATATCAAATGGGTATTTTCATTTAACCTGTTACAAAATAAATAAACTAAATATCAGAAATAGCATACGGATGATGAGAGAAAGAAGGAGAGCAATCAAATTATAGTTAGTGTGTTAAAGAAAGAAGTCATTTGAATATACAGCTTTTCTCTTTTTTTGAGATGCTTTTGGATATCTTTCTAAAAGCTGAATGAATAAAAACCATAATACAATATTGAAACACATTTATTTACATTAATCACATTAGTATAAAATGTATTACTCTATACCTATATATTCTAGTCTTGACAATTTTGCTGAAGCCTCATTTAGAAGTTTGCCAAGTACTTTGCTCTGTTGCAAAATTTGGCCAATTTTCTGACAATATTCTTAGATGCCTCCCTCTCACACACACATACATATATGTACATTCACATACACACACCACTTAAATGTCAAATTTATTGCAAGAAATTACACTGCAATCACATAAAATACAACAAAATCACATTTATTCATCAGCCTAGGTCTATACCTTCTAATAGCTATTTTGGTTTCATTACAATAGAATACTCTATAAAATAATTAAATAAATCTTGGTTATGCAAATCACAGTATTGAAAACACTGAAACCTGACTGTATAAAACATCTCATGCTCAAGGAGACATGTCATAGTGATAAATTTTAAATTAGTTGCTTTAAAACAAATTCTGTTGCTTCACTCTCTTAGTGCCTTCCTGAATTTCTATTTCTACTAATACAGTAATTACAGTGGTACTAGATGGCAGAAGTGGATCTCTCTTCCTAAAAATTTGATTTGCAAAAGAGTCCATCGGGCCCATTAAGTAATATTGACATATCAAGTCCTCTTATCAGTTTACTGCAGGTACAGACTTTGAACAAAGAAGGCTGCTCCTATTTCCCCTTCAACAGAAGCTGAGTAAGAAATTTGTAAGTATTGTCTTTTAGCCCCAAACCTAAATCAGCATTTACAGGGAAATTTATAGCACTAAATGACCACAGGAGAACGCAAGAAAGATCTAAAATTGACACCCTAACATCACAATGAAAAGAAGCAGAGAAGCAAGAGCAAACAAATTCAAAAGCTAGCAGAAGACAAGAAATAACTAAGCTTAGAGCAGAACTGAAGGAGATAGACATGAAAATTCCTTCAAAAAAATCAATGAATCCAGGACCTGCATTTTTGAAAAGGTTAACGAAATAGATAGCCTGTTAGCCAGACTAATAAAGAAGAAAAGAAAGAAGATTCAATTAGACACAATAAAAAATGATAAAGCAATATCACCAATGATCAAACAGAAATAAAACTACCATTAGAGAATACCATAAACACCTCTATGCAGACAAACTAGAAAATCTAGAAGAAATGAATATATTCCCGGACACACATACCCTCCCAAGACTAAACCAGGAAGAAGTTGAATCCCTGAATAGACCAATAACAGCTTCTGAAATTGAGGCAGTAATTAATAGCCCACCAACCAGAAAAAGCCCAGGACCAGGTGGATTCATAACCAAATGCTACCAGGGGTACAAAGAGGAGCTGGTACCAATAGAAAAAGAGGGACCCCTCCCTCACTTATTTTATGAGGCCAGCATAATCCTGATACCAAAACATGGCAGAAACACAAAAAGGAAATGAGAGAAAATTTCGGGCCAATATCCCTCATGAACATCTATGTGAAAATCCTTAATAAAATACTGGCAAACTGAATCCAGCAGTGCATCAAAAAGCTTATCTACCACGATCAAGTCAGCTTCATTCCGGGGATGCAAGGCTGGTTCGACATATCCAAATCAATAAACATAATCCATCACATAAACAGAACCAATGACAAAAACATAATTATCTCAATAGAGGCAGAAAAGTCCTTTGATAAAATTCAACGCCCTTCATGCTAAAAACACTCAATAAACTAGGTATTGACAGAACATATCTCAAAATAACAAGAACTATTTATGACAAATTCGCAGCCAATATCATACTAAATGGGCAAAAACTGAAAGCATTCCCTTTGAAAACCAGTACGAGACAAGGATGCCCTCTCTCACCACTCCTATTCCATAGAGTATTGGAAGTTCTGGCCAGGGCAATCAGGCAGGAGAAAGAAATAAAGAGTATTCAAACAGGAAGAAAGGAAGTCAAGTTGTCTCTGTTTGCCAATGACACGACTGTATATTTAGAAAACCCCATCATATGAGCCCATAATCTCCTAAAGCTGATAATCAACTTCAGCAAAGTCTCAGGATACAAAATGAATGTGTAAAAGTCACAAGCATTCCTGTATACTAATAATAGAGAGCCAATCATGAGTGAACTCCCATTCACAATTCCTACAAAGAGAATTAAATACCTAGGAATACAACTTACAAGGGATGTGAAGGACCTCATCAAGGAGAACTACAAACCACTGCTCAAGGAAATAAGAGAGGACACAAACAAATGGAAAAACATTCCATGGTTATGAATAGGAAGAATCAATATTATGAAAATGGCCATACTGCCCGAAGTAATTTATAGATTCAATGCTATCCCCATCAAGCTACCATTGAATTTCTTCACAGAATTAGAAAAAACTACTTTAAATTTCATATGGAATCAAAAAAGAGCCCATATAGCCAAGACAATCCTAAGTAAAAAGATCAAGCTGGAGGCATCATGGTACCTGATTTCAAACTATGCTACAAGACTACAGTAACCAAAACAGCATGGTACTGGTACCAAAACAGATATATAGACCAAAGGAACAGAACAGAGGCCTCAGAAATAACACCACACATCTACAATCATCTGATCTTTGACAAACCTGACAAAAACAACCAATGGGGAAAGGATTCCCTATTTAATAAATGGTGTTGGGAAAACTGTCTAGCCATATGCAGAAAACTGAAACTGGACTGCTTCCTTACATCTTAAAAAATTTTTTTTGTTTTGAGATGCAGTTTTGCTCTTGCACCCAGGCTGGCGTGCAGTGGCACCATCTTGGCTCACTGCAAGCTCCACTTCCCAGGTTTAAGTGATTCTCCTGCCTCAGCCTCCCAATTAGCTGGGATTACAGGTGCCCACCATCACGCCTGGCTAATTTTGTGTATGTTTAGTAAAGACAGGACTTCACTGTCTTGGGCAGGTTGGTCTCCAACTCCTAACCTGAGGTGATCCTCCTGCCTTGGCCTCCCAAAGTGCTTGGATTACAGGTGTAACCCACCACACCTGGCCAACCTTATACAAAAATTAACTCAAGATGGATTAAAGACTTAAATGTAAGACCTAAATCCAAATTTATGTTTCTATATCTGCTTTGAGATTTTGGGTTTGGGACTCTGCACACCACTTTCTATTGCCAGCTGGCTTCCTCTTAGATTCTGCAATGGTTGGGAGAGGGCTGGAGACAGGACAAGGGGGTGAAGAAAGGGAGAAAGGAGCTTATTCTTTCCTATTCTCTTGCTGTCAGTAGTGTTTAGCATCTTGCACCCTGTCAGTGGCAGTCATTTCTGTCTAAAGATTTTTCAAGTCCTTCCACAACCAGCTTATTCTGACCTGAGAAAGATACCAGCCCTAGGTGGCTTGCATGCTTTCCTGAGGAGTTTGAGTTCCCTGAGTCCTCTCCTAGGAGCTCCTGAGATAAGAACACCGGCTATGTAGCAACACTTCTGAGAAGTGTGATATGGAGATCTACAGGGTCTCTTTTCCAAGCTCCCTGTGCCCCATCTTTTCATTTTGTTCCCCAAGCCCTAAGGGTGGAGCTGCTTTCTGAAACTGCTATCTCTGTATAACCTGAGAGGCCTCTTTTTCCTCTTTCAGTTCTCTAACAAATATTTAATCCATTCTTTATATTAAAATTTCCTTGTTAAAACAAGTATAGGGAAAAGGATATGAATAGACGTTTCTCAAAAGAAGACGTTTACATGGCCAAACACATGAAAAAATGCTCAACGTCACTGTTCATAAGAGAAATGCAAATGCAAACCACAATGAGATTCCATCTCATACTAGTCAGAATGGAGACTATTAAAAAGTCAAGAAACAATAGATGCTAGTGAGACTGTGGAGAAATAGGAACTCTTTGACATTATTGGTGAGAATATCAATTAGTTCAACCATTGTGGAATACAGAATGGTGATTCCTCAAAAATCTAAAACTAGGAATACCTAGTTTGACCTAGCAAATCCCATTTGACCTAGCAATCCCATTACTGCGTACATACCCAAAGGAATATAAATCATTCTACTATAGAGACACATGCACATGTATGTTTATTATATCACTATTTACAATAGCAAAGTCGTGGAAACAACCCAAATGCCCACTAATGATAAACTGGATAAAGAAAATTTGATATATATATATAACATGGAATACCATGCAGCCATGAAAAGGAATGAGATCATGTCCTTTGCAGGGACATGGATGTAGCTATAAGCCATCATCCTCAGCAAGCTAACACAAGAACAGAAAACCAAACACCACGTGTTCTAACTCATAAGTGAGAGTTGAATAATGAGAATATATGGACATGGAGAGGGGAACAACACACACCAGGGCCTGTTAGGGGGCGGGGGATTAGGGAAGGGAACTTAGAGAATGGGTCAATAGGTCCAATAGGCAAACCACCAAGGCACATGTATACCTACGTAACAAATCTGCATGTTCTGCACATGTGTCCTGGAACTTAAAGTAAAATTATGGATCTTGCTATAGACCCTTTATTTTAATTTTATGTTAGC